CCTCCAGGCATACCACCTTTTCCTCCAAGCATCTCTCTGAGCTCCCACCCTCCATTCACTGCCTGCTATAGCCAGCCTTCCCTTCTGCTCTCGCCACCTGAGGCTTCCCTTTCTCCTCATCCTAGCATCACTCTACATCTACACTTCCTCCACTGACGCTGAGAGAGAAAGGAGATAGGTACACACAAACCCGTTACCATGGTCTGCAATGAAGAAGAAGGTGGCTCGGAGGAAGCGTCTCAGTCCATAAAGTCCGATTGCGGGCGTCCTCTTCGGGTGGAGCGGGGTCGTCCGTGGGGAAAGAATCCTGTCGGGGGGAGGGCGGTTCAGGCGGCGGCATCCTCCGGGTCCGGTCCAGCGGCGGCTCGTCTGGTGGGGTCGGTGTACTGGCGGTGGCCCGTGATGTGCTCCACGTAGATGTCGCGGGACCAGCGGATGGTGTCGGACACCCTGAGGTAGCGCATCAGCTTGGCATAGCGGCGGGAGATGCGGCAGGCACGGAGGACGCTCTCGTTGCTGGGGTCCCAGGCTCCGAGCGTCCCCACACTGCAGAGGTGTTCCAGGAACCTATGACCAGATAGTCTGTCCCATCACTGTGCCATACCACAGGTAAAAGGCAGCAGGGAACCTATTATCACTGCAGTTCTCTCTCACCCATTAATTCAGCAGATGATACAGGAATCCAAAGCAAAGGGAAAGGAGGATGGGTCATGGAAAACACCTAAGGACAGTGTATCTTGAATTCCAGTTACTGCAATAGTAAGTCATTTATGTTTTCTCAAGTGCATCTCTCTGCATATTCCACTATAGGCAGATCTTCAACAAGTCCCTCTCTCTATCTCTGCCCACAAAGTTCTAGGGACCCATGATTGTGGATGGGTTCTGGGGCATTTCATCAGAATACTCAACCTTCTGGAATGAGGCATCCGCATTGCCATTGCAGACTCCTGGCCTGTAGGTAATTGTAAAATTGAGCCTACAAAAAAACAGGATGGGCGAGGGTGTCATTGGTAGAGGCTCTTTGCTGACCAAAGGTATTCCAGGTCCTTATGATCAATCAGGACTTCTACAGGACTGACTGTGAGCTTCTTTCAAGTGGTGGTGCCATTCCATGAATGCCACCTTGATAGCTACAAGCTTTTTGTCCCAAATCTAGTTGTATTCACAGGCATCAGTTTCCTGGAGTAGCAGGCACAGAGATGTAGTGGCTCCTGAGCCCTCCAACATTGACAGTACTGCCCTAAATACAAAATTAGTCATCATCAGCCTCTACTGTGAATCGGAGGGCTGGGTCTGGGTGGGCCAGGACTGGGGCACTGCAGAAGACTTGTTTCAAGCTGTCAAAAGCAGCTTGCAACCAGTTGAATTGCACCCCCTTTTTAAGTAATGTCATTATAGGGGCTACCAGGGGAGAGAGATGCTGGATGAACCTTCCATAAATGTTCATGAATCCCAAGAACCATAGGTCTCTCTGCACTTCCCTTGGAGAGGAACAATCCAGTACTGGTGTTACTTTGCTGGGGTCTATTCGTAACTTCTCTGGGCTAATTATGTACCTCTGGAATTCCACACTGATGCAATCAAACTCACACTTTTCCAATCTCATGTATAAATGGTTCTGAGAAGCCATTTTAATACCAGGTGGATGTGCTGGTCTTGCTCTTCATTTTCAGAGAAAACAAGAATGCTGTCCAGGCAGACCACTACAAACTGGTCCAGGACATCCCACATGGCATTGTTAACAAAGTGCTAGAAGTGGCCAGTGTTCTGGAAAGGCTGAACAGCATAACTAGGTATTCAAAGTGTCTATACCTGGTGTGGAAGATTGTCTTCTGCTCATTGCCCTGCTGGACGCAGACAAAGGTGTACACCCCCCAGGTCCAGTTTTGTGAATATATCTGCTTGCCCCAGTGTCTCAAATAGTTCGTTAATATGGGGAAATGGGTGCTAGGCCTGTGTGAATAGGGAAGTATTCGATTTGGATTCAGATTTGGACAATTCAGAGGACAGCGATTTGATTCAGATCACTGTCCTGAATGGATTTGGCCAAATCGGCTTCAAAAGATTCAGTGCTGATTCAGAGAGATCTGGTGATTTGGATCAACCGGGGAGAGCTGAGGGATCAGACTTAACTGATCTGGGTGAAACCAGTTTATGAAACTTCTGTCCCAGACCCTTTCCTGGTTCAAGTTAAATCACAATGCCCCAGCATGCTTTTCAGCCCTGGGCTGGGCTGTGCTGTCTGCTTCAGAGAGCAGGGCTGGCTGCACCTCTCTGTTCCCTAGCTGGAGCAGTGAGGGTTGGCTGATGGGCGGGGGTGGCAAGCCCAGCTGGGGATGCAGGGAGACTGCCACCCCCCGACCACAGGCAAACCCCAACTGGGGACTGGGGGCAGGGAGGGGGGTTAAACACCCCTTCCCCCACCCAAATTTCCTGCTGGCTGCAACTGTGGACTACACATCCCAGAGGCACCTGGAAGCAGGAAGAAGTGATAAGCAACCCTTCATAGTCCTGCTGCTGTAATTCTGGACTGCAAATCCCAGAGACCTTGGGGGCAGCATGAAGAGGAAGTGAACTAGAGAGCTGTGCTCTAGCACCCCCCAGCTTCTGGCCTGAGCCACTGCAGGCATGTGGCTGCATTTCCTGAATCAAAGGTAAATGTCTGTTCACTTCTGTTTCAATTTAATCTGTGTATTTTAGACTAATCTGCAAAGACTGAATCAATTCAGCCTCCGGCTTTTTGACTGTCTGTCTTAGCCTTGATCAAAAGAAATTGTTTTCTAGGGGTGTGGATAGAATTTAGGAGAATGTAAGTATTCCAATCCACCATATGAAATATATTTATTTTCAGTCATATCTGCAGTAGGAGCAAGAATGGCAGGAACCTGCTTATTTCTGCAGGTTCTAAAAGTGCTTCATGACTAGGAAGTGTTATTTTATTTTTATTGAGCAATGGAAAACATCCAATAAATCTGAAGGAGTTTTGTGCACATCCGTAAAAGGGATCTGTGCAGCCCCTGTTATATATCAGTTCCTTCAAGACCTCAAACTCAGCATAAGAAGGTAAGATTAGAACAGCTCTCTTGTCTAGCAAAGAAGATAGATACCAGTTGGTTCTGATTGATTCCATTCCTACTCATCCTAGTCTTGAAACTGCAGGTTCTGTTGAAGAATCTGCACTTTGAATTCTTGTGTGAAATGACATCTCTGCTTGCAGATGTCCCTTGGACAAGATGTCCCATAATGATGTCTGATGTATGAATTCCTGGCCATTCTTATTAAATGTCATTTCTTATATGGGAATAGAGGAGGATACCATGGAGAAGGGCCATAGAGTATCCAGAGCAGTGGTCTCCAACCTTTTAAAGCAGAAGATCAGGTCAGATTCAGCCTGCAGGCAGTACCAGTGGGGGCCTGCACTGCACAGCCCCGACCCTACGTGCTCCACGCCTGCCCCAGGCTCACCCACCCAGGCTCAGCAGCAGTGGTACTGGACAGAAGCTGTTGCTCAGCACAGGGGAGAAAGTTGCCCCTCCCACTGCTGGCTGTTCCCTGCTGCAGCTCCTCAGAGCCTGTACCAGGCTGCCCTGTGTCTGTTCTGTGCTGTCACTGCTGCCCCAGCCCAGAGGCGACGGTGACAGTGACGGAGATGCAAGGCAGCCCAGTGTGGGTTCCAGGTGACTGCAGAAAGGAACTGCTGGTGGTAGGAGGGGGAGGGGCCACATTCCCACCACAGCGAGCAAAAGCTTTTGTCCAGCACCACCACTGCTGAGCCTGGGTGAGCAAGCCCACAGCAAGTGCGGGCCATGTGGGGTCGGGGCTATGCAGCATGAGTCCCAATATATACCGGTACTGCGGGGCTGAGGCCAGCAGCAGCGGCAGCCAGAAGGAAATGCATGCCACCTGGGTTGCCTAGAAAGGCAGTCCAGCTGCAGAGTCACCCCAGCCCTGGTGCATGCCCCGTGG